ACACCAGCAAGGCCACATGGGGAAAGGAGACGGTTGTGCTTGAATGGACATGCAAACTTCCCTTGATGCTCAGAGCAGCAGTGGTTTCCCCTCCCTTTTGGAGACTCTGGCTCATAAAGGAGGCAGTCTGGGGGAGACCCCCTGGTTATGCCAATACTCCTAGGCAAGGCTCCCACCTCTGAGCCCAGCGCTGGGGAGGCTGAGAGCATCACGGCCCAGGCACAGAGAAGGAGGGAGGGCTGCTATTTCCGGAGGAACTCCTGGGAGCCAGGAGAGTGGGTGGCCACCTGCAGCACCAGCTGCTGGCAGGCCAACCGGCATGCCAGCCAGCCCGGCATGCCAGCAGGGGGGTGGCTGGCTGCCCTGGTCCTCCCTGTGCTCCCCTGAGCCACCAGGCTGCCTGATGGGGCTCTGCTGGCCACCCGTGGCTGCAGGCACCGCTGTGGGATACATTTGGGCACTGCACCGGGGCACACGGGGTCCAGGTGCCAGAGAAGCCAGCACAGGGATGTGGCAGTACCTGCCGTGGGAACGGGGTCAGCTGGGCCAGCGTCGACTGGGAGTTTCCTCATTCTCCTGCAAGCTCCTGCGCTGCAGCGGGTCAGCACATGCGTATGTGCTTTGCTGCACAGGGCTTGTGAAGGGCCACCTCCTCCCCTGCTTTTGTAAAAGCCCTGCTTTCTGCCAGCCGGGATGAGGCCTCCTAGTGAGTTAATGGCTGAGGAGTGGGATCTTTGTACAATGCAGTAATGGCTGGGTGCATCCTCGCCAGGCTCCTAAAACAGGTTGCGGACCAACCAAGGGAGAGGTGTGGGCTGGGTTTCACCTGAGGGAAGACCTGCATCCCATCCTTGCTCTGTCTCTGAAGCAGCGGAAGTCATTCAAAGTAACCACATGGCCAGCTTCTTTTTGTAGGAAAATGAAATTAATGTAGGAAATGAAATTTTGTAGGCTGCAATTAAAAAAAAAAAAAAAAAAAAATTGTGGGGGGGGGGGGGAAAGGAAAGGGAGAGGCTCTCAGAGAAGGCCCTCCTGCTGATGTAGGTGGCTCCAGAGTTTTGATCCCAGCTCTCTCTGTGGCAGTGCTGCCTGGAAATTTCTTCTTTGTTATGCCTTTCCTGTAATACTACACTGAATTTTCTTCCTCCTTTCCTCCTCTTGCCGCCCACCCACTGCTGCCCCGAGTGCAGCAGGAGCTGCCAGCCCGGACGAATGCCTCGGTGCCCACCTCTCCGGCACTGACCCGAGACGCACTCCACACCAAGATGGAGCAGCTGGAGGAGCAGCTCCTCTCCAAGATCCTGACGCTGCAGAAGGAGCGCCAGGCGGCCAGCAGCGACCACAGCCAGCAGCAGCACGACATTGAGAAGGAGCTGAACTCCCTCCAGAGCCGGGTCGCTGAGTTGGAGCATGGTAAGTCCTGCAGTGGGGCCCATTTCCCGGGACCCATGTGCCCACCCTGCCCTCCCGGATGCCACGCAGGGGTCAGTATCAGCCCTTGAGCCCCTCCTGAAGGTGCGTGTCCACAGGAGCAGCCCCTTTGGCCACCCTGACCCCAGCCAGTGCTCACTGGCTTCCCTTCTCCCCTTCCTTTGCTTGCAGGGCCACCAAGCTTCAGCCCTCCCGATGCCTTCAAGGTGACCATCCCTGTGCAGAACAACTACATGTATGCCCGCATGAAGAAGACCCTGCCAGAGCTCTACGCCTTCACCATCTGCATGTGGCTGAAGTCCAAGGCCTCGGGTGGGCTCGGCACCCCCTTCTCCTACTCTGTCCCGGGCCAGGCCAACGAGATTGTGCTACTAGAGTGGGGTACCAACCCCCTAGAGCTGCTCATCAACGACAAGGTCAGTAAAGCCGGTGTGTTGTGGGCGAAGGAAGAGGCATGAAGGTCCTTCCTTTCTCTCCTTAGTCTGGACAGCTTTCCCAAGCCCAGTCTTCATCACAAGCAACCCGGAGGGGAACAGGTGCTTCTGAGGGGTCCCTAAGGTAGTCTGGTTTTTATTCTCCTGCGTAGCAAGAAACTTCCTCCAGGGAAGCTCAGGGAGGGGGAGGCCACTTTGAATTCCCTCTACATGCAGTGGGACGAGAGCTGGCACATGGTCCTGTGAAGAGGCTGACATGCAATAATTTAGCCCACAAGGCAGCAGCAGGGTCTGGCGCTGGTGTTTGCACTGCCGTGGGCCCCCAAAATAGCTGCAACAGAGCTGGGACTCACATCAGGGAGTGCGAGGAAGATCTGGGAGGAAGGGGCAGAGGAGATGGTGGGGAGTAGGCGGATAGGGAAGATGGCCCGATGTGGAAGGGGTTGAGAGAGAGAGAAGTAGCAAATCTGGGTGTCAATAGACCTTGGGGTGCCACAGGGGAGGCCTTGCCCGATGGCCTGCCCTGCAAGGGGTGCGCGGGGCGCTGCTGCTGCCCCAGTGGTCCCGCTGAGTACCAGGTTCTGGCCCTTTCGCTTGCAGGTTGCCCAGCTGCCGCTGAGCCTGAAGGACAAGGCCTGGCACCACATCTGCGTGGCATGGACCACCCGGGACGGCAAGTGGTCGGCCTACCAGGACGGCGAGCAGCGGGGCGCCAGTGAGAACCTGGCCTCCTGGCATGCCATCAAGCCCCAGGGGGTGATAATCCTTGGCCAGGAGCAGGTTCGTGCCATGCCAGCCCGTCACCGCGGTCCATAGGGCAGGCCCGGGGAGGGGGCAGGAGCCCCAGGATGCTCCAGTGTTGCAAGCCTCATGCAGTGGTGCCCCCAAGTGGGGCTGGGGTTTGGGGGCAGGAGTTCCCGGCATGGGGTGCTGCAAGCGCGGCCTCATCTGTGCTTGGGCAAGGGGCTCTCTTGGCCGGTAGCCCGTCCTCCAGACAGACCATGTGTGCTCATCATGCTCCCTCCTCCCTGCCATCCCTCTCCTCCTCTCTCTGCTGCATCCGTCCATCCGCTCCCCTCCTTGCTTCTTGCTTCTTCTGCCCAAATTGCTTCTTTCCCCGTCTCTCTCTCCTCTCTCCCGCTCCCTCCCCTGCCCTGCTCCAGGACACACTGGGCGGCCGGTTTGATGCCACACAGGCCTTCGTGGGGGAGATCGCGCAGTTCGGTGTCTGGGACCACATGCTGGCGCCGGCGGAGATCCTGGCCCTGGCCAACTGCACCTCCCACCTGCAAGGCAACGTGATCCAGTGGGATGACCAGGCGGTGGAGGTCTTTGGGGGCGCCGGCAAGGCGAGCTTCGTGGCCTGCGAGGAGAGGATGAAGGCGTGAGCGGCCCCTCGCCCCCCACCCACGGGAAGGAGCATGGCAGTGACCCCCC